GACTTTGATCCTCTAGCACATTTCAAACTCTCTGGCAGGAAAAGCAGCCAGTTCACAGCTCAGACGGGGAAGGGGGCACAATAAAAAACCAGCATGAGAATGCAGCTGGAGCCCAGCTGAGCTGGTGCCTCTAACAGCTTGGGCTGCCCAAAAGCACCCGTGGGTATTTCCAGACATCACACAGCCAGCGTGGTGAGAAAAACCAAGCGCTGACCAACCCGTCCCAGAGCACCAGAACCAGTACAAGGGGCAATGGCCTGTCCTGGGTCACCGCAGCCCTGGGGGCCCTGGGGAGGGGAGGGGAGGGGCCAATGACACTTACCGTTCATCTCACAGCCGATCAGCTCAAAGCGCAGGGTGCAGGCACGGCGGCACATCACCGGGTAGATGCGGATGAACTGGGCCGTGATGGGAGGGTTGAACATGTTGGTCTGCATGGTGCCATAGTCTGTGTTCCCCTGGAAAACCTGCAACGGCGAGCAGGGCTGAGTGCCCCAGCTCCCCCACAGCTTCCAATCCCCTGCCCAGCTGACAGGCAGACCTCAGCACCGACAACGGCAAGAGCAGGGGAAGCTGGGTTCTGCTTTTGTGCCCTGGGGCACAGCATGACCTTGCAGCAGCTTCAACACTCTCCACAGAGCTTTGCAACACTCCCTGCTCCCTCCTTGCCCCACGGAGCCACACATCCAGCAACACTCGCTCCCTTCCTCTATGGAGATGCTCCTCAAACGGTGACAAGCAGAGAGGTGGCTCACTTCTTTCTTTTTAGCACAACAGAGACAGTCAGGTTGTGTTTTCACACATTTTTCACACTGCTGCAGAAATAGCATTTCTATTTTTTAAAGCATAGCAGACACAGCCATTCCCTGGATGCTCAAAAGACAACCAAGAGACACTTGCCATAAAAAAAACAAGAGTGGAAAGCGCTGCGATGAATGAGTATTCCTGCTCTCAGAGGGAGACAGTCAGCTCATGCTTGGTGCAGACAGAACTGAGCCGTGCAAGTCTGCTTCCAGACTGCCCAGTTTCCACAGCGTGTCACCGATAAAGATATTACCTTAATGACCTAAAGACGTCAGTGCTGCTCCTTTGGTTATGCTTATGGTCAATTAAACAGAGCCAGAGAGCACTGCCTGGTGCTGGAACTGCCCGTGCCCATCTTGCTGCTAGGACGGTCCCCAACGTGGCTTTGACCCCGGTCAAAAAGCACTTTCCCAAACATGGGGACGGTTTGTGACGCAGCTCACAGCCACCTCAGCACCGCTGGGTGGGGGGGGCCGGCGTGGCCCCCGTGCTGAGCAGCACCCCCACCTTGTCTGCATTCTGCTTCTCGTCCTTGAAGAAGGTGAACTCCCGCCCGTCCAGGCTGTAGGCCACCCTGTAGGCCCGGACGTACTCCTGCTGGCCCACGCGGCGCGCGCCCTGCGTGATGACCCCGCTCAGCCGCATCTTCCGCAGCAGGTTGGCCTGGGGAGGGGAGGAGAGGAGACTCTGGGTCAGTGCACAGCTCCTCCGCCCGCCAGCACCAGCCTCACATCCATGGGTGGCCAGAGAAAGGGGCTTCGCCATTCCAGGCCCCCATCTTTCCCCCAGAGACCTTGCCTTCTCCAGACATGTCACAAGATGCCCCTGGGTGGCACCTTGCTGCAGCAGTTTAGCTCTGACGTTGCCACCAGCAAGCAGAGAAATCCCACGAGATCAGCCCAGCCAAACCAGCCACACCTACCAGAGCTGCCTGCTACACCAGTGCTCCCAGTCCTGCTGTGAGTACCTGGATCCAGGGGTTCTTGTCGTAGTTGCTGGAGGTCCAGGCATTGACAATGCCATGGTTGTTGAGGCGGGGGGGGTCCCGGCCCCACCGCTGGAGGCCAAGGAAGCCATAGTAGACAGAGGATGCGGAGAGCTGGGCATCGGAGATGGCTCCTCCCTCCATTCCCAGGAGAACAGCACAGCCTAGGGGCAGTGGGGATATCAGCACCAAAGAGAGACGGAGGCCAGCGAGCACATTTGTCTCTTTTCTGGGGAAAAATTCTTGGGACCTGCCTTCCCTCAGGTATTTCTCCCCTCTCCAGCCTTCAGCCAAAAGCACATTGTCCATCAGCCCCTCTCACAGAACAGAGGCCTGAGGGGAGGAAAGGGAGGCTGGGGCCCCCTTTGAGAGGAGGTGGAATCTTCTCAGGGGTGCTCCCTCCATCAGGACCAGGCCTGCTGACCCCAAGGGCAGCCAGCACACAGGCACTCACAGCTGCCCTCCAGATCCCCTAAACCAGCCAGTGAGATCCCTCCTGGGCACGCTGGGAACAGGGGGAAAAGGGATTTCTGCACAGCTGATGCCAGGGACTTACGGACTTGGCAGGTCTTCCCCAAGAACGGAGAAGGACACTTGCAGGTGTAGTCACCATCCAGGTCCAGGCAGGTGCCTCCATTTTTGCAAGGCTGGGAGTAGCACTCGTTCTTGTCTAGGAGATAGAGTCGGGAAGCTCAAGAGGTGACTGCAAAGCTAGTCCCAGGGAGAAGACCTCTCATTCAGTCCAGCAATAAGTGGGGAGAGGCATCCCCTGAGCAAGGACCACAGCAGCGTTCCTGCTACTGTGGCACAGGTTGAAGCTCTAACCCAAGGAGTCACATAAGCCTTGTCCTCACTGACTGCAACCATGCAGGTGCACTAGGTCACGCAGCCAGGGCAAGGCTGGGAGCTTGTGTGGAGCAGGCTGAGTCCTGAGACACCCCTTGTCCCACTACATGAGGCACCATGTTCCCACCAGAGAAGCAGGGCAAGGCTCAGATATTGCCACGTCCCCATGTCACAGTCCTCCCCTCCACCCTGCAAGGTCCAAACCACCTCTCACAGTGCCTAACAGCCTAGCACCCAACGCAGCCACAGCTGCAAACAAGCCTAGCCCCCAACGCAGCCACAGCTGCAAACACCCTCCAGTTGTCCCCTAGGTGCTACCCCGGGGGTCCCCAATCCCTTAGTGGCAAAGCAGCCCCCACTAACCCTCCCACCCCCCTGTACTTACTGTTCTGGCAGTGCACCCCATCGTACCCTGCAGGGCACTTGCAGATGTAGTCGGTGAAAACATCCCCCCGGTTCGGGACCAGCTGGCACTCGCCATTGTTGTGGCAAGGATTGGGGTGGCACGGGCCTGGGCGAGGGGAAAAACGGCTGTCATAGGGGCACAGTGGAAAACAAGAGCATGCAGTGGGCTCTCACTCCCCAAAGACATCATGCTCCCCCCAGGCGATGGAGGTCACATCATCCCTGCTTGGATCTCCGCTCTGTGCGCCCACCAGCAGGGCCGGACCCCAGGGCCAGGGCCACAGGGCCACAGTGAGGGCTCGCTGCCACACTGCAAGGCTCCTGACCTTCACAGAGCACCTGTGAGGGGGTCAGCCCCTCACCTTTCTCTGTCTCATTGCAGTCAATCCCAACGTAGCCCTCGGGGCAGATGCAGAAGAAGGGGGTTTCATTAATCCCAGTAAGGCAGGTGCCCCCATTCTGACAATGGTTCACATCACAGAAGTCACCTGAAAGCAAAGCCACGTGTCACTGCAAGCCATTCCTAAGGCAGGCATCCACCAGAGCCCCATGGATGCACAGGGGGCATCCCGGCCACGGGAGCCACGTGGGAGGGGAGCACCCGGCAGGGACCAGCTGCTGGATCCTGCCTGGGACTGCTAACATTCCAGAGCAATGGTTGAGACCAGGAGCAGGAAAGCGAGACCAGGACTTGCCCTGGCACATTAAAAAAGTTTTTTCTAACAGAGCCTGCACATCAAACCAAAGCCAGGAGAAACCCAAGGATTTGGTGCAACAGATGTTTCTGCTGCTCGGCTGGGAAGTGGAGGTGGCCAGGCTGGGGCTCACTCAGAGAAGAGCAGGACAGGATTATTCGAGAGGATGGGGCTGGTCCCATTGCTGGGGTTTGCAAATGGAAGTTAGTACTCGTAAGACCAAAACAAATTTGTTGTAGGAGGAGCCTGCATATCTTGGTTCTCAGATGCCAGAGACATGAGAGGAGGGAGCACAGGGTCCATCCCTGCACGATGCCTGCCAGACCTTCATCACTCACTGAGCAGCTCCCTCAGGGCAGGCCCAGGCTACAGGCAGGTCCCCTTGGGAAACTGGTGGGGCTGCACTGTCTTCCCTGACTATTCATCCACCTCCAGCATCTCTCATGCTGCTGGGTTTACGTTGCAAGGTGGTGGTGGCAGAGGGCTGCAAGAGTGACTTCTGCAAGATAACACCAGGAGCTACCCCCATATTGGAGACAAGCCAGTCCCTGCCAACTCCAAAAGAGACCTACTGCTGCCCAAAGCTGAGCCCACCACCAATACTTTTGTTGCCTCGTGATCATATATGCATGATAAGATAAAGAATGCTGAGCAGCAGCTGTGGGGGAGGAGGGAGAAAAACATGAGAGAAACAGCCCTGCAGACACCAAGGTCAGTGAACAAGGAGGGGTAGAAGGTGCTCCAAGCACTGGAACAGGTATTTCTCTGCAGCCCATGGAGCAGACCACAGTGAAGCAATTCTCTCTCTGCAGCCTGTGGGGGTCCATACCAGAGCAGACACCCACAATGCAGCCCATGCAGGACTCCACATCAGAACAGTCTGCTCCTGATGGGCTGTTCCCCACAGAAAGGACCCACACTGGGGCAGTTCATTAAGAACTGCAGCCCATGGGAAGGACTCATGCTGGAGCATTTTCATCTTTTCTACCCCCAGTCCTACCAAGGAGGTGGACTGAGGGCTGGGTGGGCACCTGGCAACCAGCCAAGGTCAACCTGATGCACCCATCAACTTTGTGCTCCCTATTGCAGTGCTGAATCATACTGCAAGAGCCAGGCTGAAATTCCTCCCACCCTCAATTAATTCTACCCCAAGAGCTGCAAGAGAACAACACTCTCCATAAACCTAGACCAGCCTCCTATAGATCTGGCTGAAAGCCTCAGGAACTCCTCACCAAGTACTGGGACAGCACGGTCCTTGATGCCAGGCCCTACTCTGCTACGCTGCAGGAAACAGAGCAAGGGCTGAACCCAGGTGAAGACCCAGGAATAACCCCCCACTACCTGCATGCCCTGAAGAAGGTGGAAGTTAATGAGCTGTGGGCTCACTACCTGGACCCACACCAAAGAGCATGGTTCTCATTAGCCTAAGCTACTACTCAGCGAACTCCTACTCATTAGTCTTTTAATAGCAGGGCTCCCTTGAGTTAATCCTACTCTTCCCGACACTCTGCATCTGTAGGGTACACACTGGTGGCAGACAGGTCAGAGTTAGGGGAAGGCTCCCGCAGAGATGCTGTAGCTCCCTCAGCCCAGCCTCGGGAGGCAGAAAAACTTGGGCACCAGTTCAAGTTGCTGCCTGCGCTGCCCAGCCTGTTCTGCATGACCTCATGCTCCATCAATGCGCTGCCATGAGCTACAGCAGGGGAGGAGAGAGCTCGGGCTGATACGTGGGGATGCCTTTGCCCCACGCTCCTCCGCAGGTCTCTGGCCACCTCATCCCGAGGATGTGTCCCGGCAGGCGGCCAAGGCCCCGCGGACAGAGCTGCTTCTGTTGGGCAGCAGGAGCAGGGAACGTGTGCTCCCCTGCATCCCCGCTGCCTCTGAGCAGGAGGCTCTGGGGTGGGACACAGCACAGGAGGAGCAGGGGCTCCTCCCAGGCCCGGGACAGGAGGGGTCCCGGTTTTATACTCCACTTATCCCAGGGAACTGACTCCCTTAACCCCTCCCAGCAATAATCCCTTACAAGCTGGGTCTCGCTGGCCAGCCCCCTGCCTAGCAGCGGGGCACACAGGTCACATTTTCCACTGTGGCAAGTAGTTTTGGATGCTCCTATTTTTCAGCTCTTTCAGGCCTGGTTTCGGAGCAGTTCAGCATCTCCATCCTCCCCACATGCATTTTTCTCAGGTCAGAGACAGAGCTGTCACAGGCTGGACAGTCAGGAACCAAGGCAACAAAGATCAGCCACCGCTTTTGGAAATGTTTGCTTATATGAACCCACAGGCTGGCTGGAAGGCAAAAATAACATCCTCCGAAAGCTGGGATGGCTCATCCCAGCGGGGCTGGGGGAGGTCAGGTCAAGCCTGTCTCACAAGGCCAAAATGAGCACCTCTGCCCGTGGAAAGCAAGCCCAAACAGGGCTGTCCTCACAGCACACCTTACTGATGTCCTTTGTCCCCTGGCCTCCTGGAACCTGCGCTTGGGCTCTGCTCCTTTTTTCCCTGGTCTCGACCATGCCTTTCGGAGCCAACCGCCCCAGGCATGGCCCACAGAATGATGATGGAGCAGCTTCTCCTGGGGGTTGGTGCGCCGTGCCAGGCGGTCCCAGGGAAGCTGTTTACATCGCGGGCAGGGTTATCTAAGCCAGAAGGCATGGGACGGCCAGGCCGAGCTATTCCCAGCTCGGGAGCAAGGACGGGGCCATGGATTCCTCTGCTCCTGCTCCCTGGGGGCTGTGCACCCTCCCACTCGTCACCCCTGCACCCCACACACAACAGCCGGGACCCTCTCACCCTGCACCCCAGATCCTCTTGCTCTGCATCCTGGAGCCCCTGCACCCCAGTTCCCCTACACCTGGGGCTCCCTGGGAC